CATAGCAAGTGATATCTTGCAACCCCGAAATTGGGGTACGCCCCTTAAATTCAACGACTGCCGCGCGACGTTAGCCGTGAGATACGATTCCTGGCGTAATACTCGACGACGAAGAACAGGGGTGGGAAGTTCGAAGGGGGGGAAAAAGTGGATTTTCAATTTCGAAGGATAGACGAAGCAGTTTGCGTGCTCGATCGAATGACTCTCATTTGTTATCTCTTTATTGTAACTCTTTTTATAGTAACGTCGCTGTTACATTGACCCTTAGATCTCGAATCTAAAGGACGTCGACCTTTAATTCCGGCGGATTTGTATAATACGAAATCAGATAGAGATAATTATATTTGGCTACCGGAGAACTTGTGGATAATTGTCAAATGCTGAAATTGAATTGTTCCAGTAGATAATATTGCTCCGTTTACTGTTATTCGAGAAATTGTTTTAATGTCGTGATCGAAATTGTTTCCGGAGTCCAAATGCGAAGTCCACAATAACCTTACTGCTTCACGTAATAGGGGAACTCTATTAGGCGCCATTATAGTACTACGCTCCCTTTGATATAGCAGCTCCCACTGCCCTCCCTCTCTGTCTCTCCGTCTCTCTTCACACTCAACTTTGGGATTCTACGGAGCACGTGGCCCAGATCTTTTATGCCAGGGTTTCCAAGGGAACTCGCGCGCCATTTGCTCACATCGCGGCTGACATCTTTAACTTGTGAAATGGGATCTTCTGCCTCCCTCTCCCCTCTCCTTTGACCCAACGACTATTGGAACGGATAATTGCGAACTACTACTGTCTCCGACGTAGATACGCAGGCAGAGAGGACGTTGGTGTGCAAAACGAACAAGTGCGAGAGATTTACGGCTTGCGAGAACAACGAACAACAAAGTTGTCCCGCGAAAGAAACGTCGCTTGAGTTAGTGGAGGATGTCTTCGAATCTCAAATCCGTTCCGTTTGTCTTCTTGCTTACATCTCGTCCCGCCAACTTATCCAGCCTATCTTTCAAACAACATTTTTTTTCTTTCACATCTTACCCATATGTTTTAAGCAGGGATACTTTTTTTTATGGAAACGTTGTTGGGTTAAAATATACAGCTAACGATCAACTCACGCTTATAAATGCAAGCTAAATAATGAATAAATTATCAACTTGGCACGTGGATTTTTTTAAAGAACAATCCTTATCACAGATTCGATCTATATTATCTTAAAACAATGTAAAACTTTTGTTCAGAATGTTATCAAATACGTACGCAAATTAGGGAAAATGCTGCTTGATAATTATGCAAAAATTCGGCTGTAATATTTTTTAAAAACTTTTTAAATTTTTATATTATTTCCTTTCGTTTTGAAGATTTTTCATCATTTATTACATTCTCTGTACACTATACACACACCTTTTCTTTCTATGCGGTAACTTTTTGCATATCTAATGTTATTAGTATCTAATGAGCATCCCTAATAAGCATCCTTGTGATAATTAATGCATATTTATGGTTTTCATGGGTCATATCCTCGCTTAAGGATCCTTACAAGCGTCGGTATCGCTCTCGCTTCCGGAGGAAACAGTCCACATCGCTCTTCCCTTGCCGATCTACTTAAGTATGCAGCGGGTTAGGTGGATCTTTTAAATCAGGATTTTTGAGATCGACTGCGTGGCTTCACTCGCATCGCGAATGGCGGACTCGAACCTGACAATAGCGTCGCGTTCTTTGAACCCGACGATCAACGAGAATTACAAGCTACTATTTTCCGCGAAGCTTCCGCATAAGAATGTGTCGAAATGGAAGATAAAAGCGAGGATATCTGTTGCTGTCCTTTGTGAATTTAATGGAAGTATATTGCACTATAATTGTGCAAGAGTTAAAATATTTCAAGCGATTGCAAAATGAATTCGAACTATCGGGTGCTGAGTTAGAAGGTTAATTCAATTGTGGCGAGCGAAGAGATCTGGGAAATGATTAGAAACATTAAAATAAAAAGTAATTATGCATTCATGAATCGTGATATTCAACACTGCGGAAAATGAAATGTGAAATTATGTCAGAACTATCGAGATGAAATACGAGATATCAGAACTCTCCGAATTAATCACAAACTTTGTGTACGAAGAAAACCTAGAAACAGAAAAAAAGAGCGGAAAAGACGCATTTATTATCGTCCTTAGGTAGACTCTTTTGAAGTCCGGGAAAAAAGCGGTAAGAATCTTTAATGATACAACAGGGATTTAATTTAGCTCGTATTTGAAGTATCACGCGATAAATCTATAATATCCGAGACTAGCTAAGCTTCCTTGAAATTATAGATCTCGTGATCAGAATAAATTTTTCTTGTCGCGAAAATTTAAAGATCGCCCTTTTGCAACAATCGCTTAATTGTCGATATTACGTGTATCCGGATAAACAAAGCGGATAAATTAAATTTTTTTCAATGCAAACTATTTGAAATTCACTAGAGAACAAAATAATGTTATTTATCCGACAGCTGTCTGGAGCTTGTCTTTGATATTAAAATTGGTTGCTTTTGAGACATGGCGTGCTTGTGAAGGGGAACTGCAGGCGCGGTTAATCGAAGGGACGACAACGAGAGTGCATAACGTAGTCGAAGGGCGTCTCCGGAATCAATCGATTCGCGAATCGCGTGATTCCCACCTCGTTCTTTTCAGAGTGTGATGCCCATTTACTCCGATCGACCCTCCATCTTGGCCCCAGGAATCTTTCGATCTGTCGGATCTGGGTCGCCACGTCGTATCTCCTACACTTTCTCGCTTCCGTTGGCGAGTACGGCGCCCGATTGTCTTAACCAATTCGGAAACAAACGTAGGTTCGCCGACGATTATACGCGGCGGATTTAACGGACGTGGGGGGTTCCTCCTCCTCCGAGGAGGGGCCCGGCACGACGTGGGGCTTGGCGATTATCGAGAAACGTGAATGGGTAACACGTGAGCGGGTTTGCAAATTCGTACGTCGCCGATTGCAAGACTTCTGTGATTCCTCCGGCGATTTTTTGCTTCGCGTCGAGACGTGTCTGGCGTGGCGAAGTACGCTCTTAATCTAGGTCTCCGATACGTTAATGGCGGCAGACAGGGGTCGATAACGATCGAGGGTATGATGGATGCGAATTTCCGCGGTACCCGGTTTGATATTTCTGAATTCATGTTTCGTAAGGTCATTTAGGCAAATTACTATCGCAAATATCTTAGTTGCGTGTTTAATGTAGACGTACGCATGTGTACAATCTCTAATCTATCATTTCATTATCATATAAAAATACAGTTGCTAATTTTCTTTTCCATGACTTCTTTTAACTATAAATATCACAAGTTTACGAAAAATACGTTAAATTCTCTATGTTAATCTTACAATTAGTAAAATCGGGCATACTAAAAATAAAAAGAAAAGCCATTAATTAATTCAATAATGCATCTTTGCTAAAAAAAATGTCAAATTCTTATTTATATCTATCAGTCTTCGTAGATTTTAGTTCCTACCTCATCCCGTGATGAAAGAGCGAAATTAATAGATTAAAGATTAAAAAGAAACAGCGTTTCTGCCATTATTTGGAAAGATTAGCGTCAACGCAGAAATTCCATTGATTATAATCTCGCAAATTCGGCTGGTGATAACTGCGCGCTTTTCATTCTTATTCCTACCACTCGCGTCATGAGTGACCTTTTTTTTTTTTGAAACGAATCGGTTAACGAGCCCGCGTACGGTCAGTTCCCCAATCAGGCGCGATTGTCCCGCAACATGTAAGTGGCTTGCTTGTGTAAAAGCGACCCCAAGTTTGGCGCGGTTCGACACGTGTACGTTTCGCGGGCAACCGCGACAGGCGGACGGCGGGACACTGTCGCTTGTATTCGGTATATGGCCCGACCACCCTCGATGGCCGCCTTTCTTCTCGAGGGGTGAATCGCGTATGCCCGCAGCATGACCGCAGATGATTGGCGCGCGCCAAGAGAAATCGACCACCCTCGTGGATCTAGGGGTGCCCACGGCTATCGTGGGCGGTCCGAAATATAGCCAGACTTTTAATTGCGGAATTATTAAGACCCGCGTATAACGTGAGAAAAATACCTTGTACCGTATTATTTTGCCGAATCTATTAACATAGCGAATCGTGTATGCGAATCTTTTATTAAGTATATTGTAGTTGCAAGTTTTATCTATCAGTGCGCGAAATTTTAGACCCGGTCGCCGATGGAATAAAAGAAAGAAAAAGTGTTAAAGTTGTACATTTTAACATAGGAGTTACGGGCCGATGCAGAAGCATCGGTTTGAGGGTTAATATTATTTCATAGAAATAGTAGATCTTATCAGAAAACGAGATAAACATAATAAGTGTCATTAGAATTCAAGTGCGCTATTAAATATATGAGGTCACTTGCACTTCTGCAAGCAAATACTTATTAGTAAAGTCAAGAAATAAAATGTTTTGAGGAAATCTGACCGCTCTTTGAGATTTGACAACGTCACATATTTTGAAACGTGCATATATAATTTAGTACATCAACGAATGTGATCACGAATGCATTAAGTAATATTTTTTTATGAAGAAAGTCACATGAATTTATAAAAATAAAAGAGGCCCCACCAAAGCACCCATACTATCCGCTCCTTTGTGCAGGAGCCACCTTAAAAAAGAACGTCAACTCTATTTTATCGAAAGTACATTAGTAATAGAAATTAAAGCGCATTTCTCTTCTACTTTTCTGAAATGTTATAAGAATAGCTTACAATGGTCCGCCTGGCACAATTTTTGATCGTAAACTTCACAAGAGGTTTTGATTAAAAGACGCAGCCAAGCGCGCAATTTTCGGCAGAGGACGCTTATTCGCGTCGTGGGAGAGCTCTTTTTCCGGAAAGCAGCAATTTTTATGGCGATCTAGGTACAAAGGCACGGCCCTTTGTAGCCCCCGTTTCGCTATCGATATTTTTCGGCGGCAAAAAGTGTAGCACGAGACACCCGTTTTGACTTTGGGCCATCCTTTGTGTTTCAGAACGACACGATGCAAGTGGTGTGGCAATATCACGTCGAGGAGCCGGTATCAGCGGCCGGTATCTTGCCCGATCACGGAGCAGTGCGAGGATCGAGACCGTTATATTTGGTGCAGAGAGACGCGCAGCCCAGACGAAGTTCGCGTAATCAGGAAATGGAACCGAATCTGAAGATCTGGGATATCTTGAACAAGCAGGTGGGTCGCGAAGCTCTGTTTTCAGTTTAACATATTAATTCTCATATTCATAAGATGTGTCCTGAGAGATAAAATTGAGTCTGAGGCATACAGAGATTCTGTCGAGATAAGTACTTAACGAATGAGATTAACTGGCTGAAGGGGGAAATATTTCGTCTCGCTCCAGATGTAATTAAAAGAGAGGAAGGGAGGGGCAGGAAGAGGGGAGCGCGCAGTTGGTGCACATTGCATTTATTATGATTTGCGTTATTACGACGGCACGTGACAAGAAACAAGAACAAAGTTAATATTCATCCCGACCGCGGAGAAATTCGCGAGCGCGAACAAAGACGATTAAAGAGTTTTAATTAGAGTTCACGAAAGTGGATCTGCCATCGGCGTTGTGATATTGGACTCGATTTGTGCGGAGGGCAGATTCAAGCCAGGTTTCATGAAAGTATTTAAAATAACTAAAGTTACTTTATTCAGGCTTTTCTGAGGAATCATCGTCAGCATTGTAATTCGTTATTAACTCAACATTAATTTCGAGCCAACGATATGTAGTTTTGTACCGAAGACTTCTGAAAACTTGCAATAAGAGGAAGACGATTCCGAGAGCTCCGGCTCGAAATGCTAGAAATAAAAATAATCGGCAGGCTCAGTACTCGATTTCTTCCAAGTTTTGAAAGCCGTAAAGTTGAAAATGATCTCATACCGATATAGGTAAGCCGTAACACAGAGAAGGTTAAAAATTTTCACGTGCGAAACAGAGGGAAAACTGGTTTCGCACGATCGGCGTTTCGATGCTGGCGGATGAGATGCGGTGAATCCATTCGTTTATCCGAGACGCGAACAAGCTTTTTTCAAAGCTCTCTCGTCATACGCTTTTGTTTCCGTCATTCGTAGACACGTGTACAGGTCGCGGGGTGCGTATGCACATTGCATGCGTGAGATGAATGTTCGAACGCATTTAGCTGGACGCGCGCGCGCGCGACTGGATTTTTATCACGCAGCCGTGTTGGGGTGAGAGAGAGAAAGAGAGAGAGAGAGAGAGAGAAGGCATTGTGCGCCGAATTTATGACGGCATAAATCTTAACCAGGTCACATCCGGCAAAAACTATTCGTTCATTAGCGTCGCCGGCTCGTAGATTACGAGGTCGGCGCTATCGCCGAGAATCGGACAATGCTAATTCCACCGTCTGCCCTGCCGCTGTTTATAGTTTATATCGAGACCGGAATCGGGCCACGCTCCCGTATTCCGCTTGTTCGTCCACGAAAAAGTGCAAGATCATTCGCTGGACGTGCTGATAAACGATCCGGAAATGTTGACCATGTAATATCGTTTGAGACAAGTTTAGCGTCTCACGCGGAATATATTTCGCGCTCGTAAATACATTTCCACTTTGTCAAATTGCACCATTTTTACCTACATTTTTGCAGCCACTACCAAGACTTTGTTACAATCGCTGTAGTGGAATAATCGAGATAACAGGTCTGTCCTTTTTGCCTACATTTTACGTTGCTTTCCTTCTTCAAAGAAGCAGTATAGTATATATTTCTCTCACTTTGAATGTAAACAATGTAAAGATAACTAAAGTGCAACTAAAGAGACTTGATGTCCTAAAATGCAGGGAAATTATTTAGCATTTTAGATATGTACATATATTTAAATACAACACTTGCGGGCGAATTGCAAATATTTTCTGGGCTACAAGAAATAAGTAAATAAAAAAAAATAAAAATAAAATCACAACAAAACGCGAAGCGTTTAAAATGTTTCTCTCGCTGACCATTTGCTTGAAATTATTATTAAATTAAAATTATTTGTCCCCTTTCTAATGTCGATGTTAAAATATTGAAATATCTAACTTTACTTGTGCCTTTTAGACGTGGAATGACCCCTTAACTCAGATTCTGACGAATTACTCACGGAATACGAGATCTCGTGCATCAATGGAACCACTGTTACAACGGATCTCAGTAAATACGGAGACCCCAAAAGAAGTGGGGAATAACAATTCAATTTTCAATTTTTAAAAAATAATTATTGACGCGTCCTCTAGCATTAAAATATCACTGGCGTTATATTTCTATATTTCGATCTGCGCCTCTTTTTCGCACGAGTATCGCGAGAAACTTTCCTCTTAACTTGCTACGCAAAAGTTACCGAATGGCCGAGTAACTTTCGTGTCGCGATGAATATGGAATAGAAGAATAGGCACAAAGAAGACGAGGCTGATAAGGAATGGGTTTACATTGCGCTTCTCTCCAGATTCTCCCGTTTGTTATATGTGGAGATTATTACTGGTTCGTTAATTCTTAAATTCTTGCCATACATATTTGCAAACACTGTCCTATTTCTTTTATAAAACATGTTGAATTAATTTTAGCAAAGGCAGAATTAAAAATTGCACATGTAGCAAGATCGATTATTTCATTGTTCACCGATGGACGTTTTCGCAGCCCTTATTATCGGACACTTCGTGCCACTGCGAGTGCAGAAAGAAATCGTCTCGAGATGACGATGGCAGGCGCGATGCCTATTGGCGTAGAAATCGGAAATGCACTTGCGAGTTCTCTAAAAATCCCCCCGTCGCCCCCGGGCGTCACTCAACGTGCTCGACCGCAAAACAATAAACGCGCCCTCGTCCTTCCCGGTAATCTCGACATCGATAATTTCGCATAAGCGCGTGGGAGAATCCGCCGGCGTGGTTCGAGCGCTTAGGGCAGGAGAGAGTCGGTCGTCGGGGAGGAGATGCGCGAAAAAGAGAATTGTAATTTTCTCGGACGCTATACGGTCGTCCATACGCCCCGCGGCGAGCAGTTTGAAACGACCCACCAGCACCCTGCCTTCCCCACTTCCCTCGGGGTCTCCGTATTTGCCGAGATACATTGTAACAGTGTAGCGTGGTTCCATTGATGCACGAAATCTCGTATTCCGTGAGTAATTCGTCAGAATCTGACTTGTAGATGGGAGATACATAAGGGACAAGTAGTACGACTAACACTAGCACGTGTCATTCTTTATCCCGTCATGGGGCAAGGAGCATATAATTAACCAGATTACTTGCAAAATCGTACAAGTTGTACAATTAGTTGTAATAATGGTGTCGTAACGTATATCGTTGACGAACAAGTAAAACAAGTAAATTACTGTTTCCACGTGAAACTTATACGCGATTTGCGTTGGAACAATTTTATAAACGAGAATTAAGTATTTCGTTGCAAATCTTATTCCATAAAACGAGAGGCGTCAATATACAGCCGGATGCCTAACAATATTGCCAAGTACCGTTTCGAGAACGTTTTGAACAATATGTGTTCGCACGTAACAATACAGCTAGTGTATACCGAGCGAAACACCTAGAACAAGTAACCCAACTAACGCCGGTACATGCAGTTCTTATTCTGTTATACGTGCCGAAAAACTCGCAACACGTTCGTGCACAATGCAGCCGGCCGTGCATGAGAACTGTGCAAAATAGTCGCGTGGCGTGGAAGGCGCCGCTTTGAGACAGAGCGAAATGGGCTCGTATATCACAAAAGCAACTTGCAACCTTGTTACGTAAGTCGCACGCGGCGTCGGAAAATATGGTAATGAATTTCTCGTATATATTTGCGTTTAACTGCTCTTACTCTGTTGTAACAAACCATTAACCTGACGTATGCATCAAGTAGCTAAGTTCCCCGAATTTTCCCCTCTACTTCTCGCTCTTTGTTTTAGCGAAAGAATTCTTTGTACTTGATAAGTGACGATTACTTTTAAGACGGAATGCAATAGGTTTTCGAAGCGGTAAAATCGTGGCAACATGATGATGTAACGCGACGCGATAAAATATCGCATAAAATATTTTTCCGATAAATTGTCTGGTGTTTTTGAAGTTTAATTATATCGGACAATTGTGACAATATTAATAAGACCAATTCTTGAAATACCGTTTTAATGTAAAAAAATCTTTTTACTCGAAATTTGTTTTATTACAAGCATTTAAATAATATTTTTATATAATAGATTTCCGAAGCAATGAAATCATGGCAACATGATGCAACGCAGTAAAATATCGCATAAAAATATTTTTCCGATAAATTGTCTGTTTTTGACGTTTAATTATATCCGATAATTGTAATGATATTAATAAGAACAATGCTCGAAATGTCGTTTTAACACAAACGGTAATATTTTACTCGGATTTAGGTAAATGTTTTATTACATACAACATGTTTGAATTAATATTTTTATATGTCGTATTTTGTGTTCAACTTTGTAATTGTGATTTTATTATTTATAATAGAAACTTACTGTAGTTTTCAAGTAGAAATGACGAGTACATGAAGGTAAAATTTTCATCTTTCCAATTTTGTCTGTACTTAACAATTCAGTTGTCTCCAAAAATACATGCATTTATTGCATGTGCACACTATGTGCGTCTAAATCGTATTTTCTTTCCGATAAAGTACATATTCGCATTAGTACTGTTGCCGTGACATTGATGCCGAGGCATCAATGGTCCGAATGTAGCAACTCTACCCGTTAGTTTCGCGTGGAATTATACTCGCTTAACGAAGTACCATTCGAATTGCTGTGCAGGTTCGTTTACCCATGGGGCAAGACACGCTGCTCTGGTGCCGTGTCCTGAGGATGCCGAGCATTAATCAGAAACACCACGTCGTGAAGGTGAGTTCCTCCAGGTATATAACCCGTTTACGGTAGCTCGCGCGCGCCCGCCGCTCTCCGACTTGATTAAAGCGAAGGTGGATGCTCTTGTAATGCCGAAGAAACTGCACGTCGAGTTTGCCGACTCGCCCCTCCTATCTCCCCCCCCCCTCCCTCCCTCCCTCCCTCCCGCCGCAGCCTCTCTTCCCCATACGGGAGTTATCTTCTGCCTCGCGTGTTTTCGCGTCTGAAGATGCAGCATCTTCAGGTAGCCGTCCGATAAATATGCCGCGCAAAATGATAATCTAGAGGTTACGATGCTTTATACCGAGTGATTAATCATGGTCGACGGTTTCTTTTAGAAATATTCTGACGTACTAGCAGAAAGAATTGTTTCAATTCACAATCTCGCATCCTTCCTGATCATCTCTTAAATAGTACCTCGATCGTATGTAAAATCTTAAGAGGATTAACGCGTGTGATCTTTAACACCTAACAATGTTCAAGCATTCTATAATAAGCCAGTACAGGAGTATACTTAAAGTCACCAGTGATGAATAAAATTGAAATAAAACTTCTTGTTCCCAACTGGCACTATATTAGTTAAATATTACATTTTCTGACGACTTCCTGCGTTGACATTGACCTTGCGAGTCTGCTATAATTTATGCTCTGCGAACATCTATGCACGAGTTCGGTTACTTGATAAGGACCTGACACTTGCCTCGGAACGTCGTACCAAATGTAACATTTAACTAATATATTGCCAGTTGGATCAACAAGAAGTTTTATTTCAATTACATTCTATAATACATGCTAATTAAGGACTTCGATTTTTCCGCATACACGCATACACACAAGTCCTGTAATCACATCTTACATTTACTTATAAATGCTATAATTAAGCATTCTTTGAGTTTTAAAGCTTGGCCTTTTATGGCAGGCACTTTTTATGGCACCAAAAAAGATGATAAAGTGATCGCATTACTCGCTCGATTACAAAAAGATCTTCGATTTGCGTGCCGAATGCAAGTCGATCGATTAATTCGGCCGTGAAACTTCATTGCAAATGCACGACTGGGCGGATCTGCATGATGGCAGCATCAATGCGGTAGGCAAGATCGTTTCGTCGTTCCGGCCGCCGGTTTCGCTACCAACGCTGACAGATCGACGCACGAGATGTCATCGATAAATGCGACAGTGACAAAGCAGCCGGTCGGAAACCTTGTATTACTGCCGTGTATAGAGTCACGCTGATAATAAGGTCCATTTCGACGCAGAAGTGCGCGATTCTCCAAATCGCGTGTTAAAAGTCCAAGTTGGACTGGCAGTGAAGCGCAAGGCAAGACAGTATTTGCCGATTTCCGCATTCGCGAATTCAACGAGACGCAATACTTTATCGTCGACGAGATCGGTTGTGTCTTACGTTACGTTAATGTTCTTCGATCTATCGCTATTGCCTCGTTCTCTCGCAATCGACTTCATTATGCTTTTACACACGTGCATTAAAAGCTGTTCATTTTCATTATATCTAAAAACGACACGCGCGGGATGCTTGAAATTTAATACCTTGTACGAACAGATTGAGGAATATAGCACAGTAATACGAAGGCGTACTTTTATCGAGGAAAAATTGGTCGAGCTGAAGAAAATTGCGCGATTAGAAAAGGTGCCGTAATACTTGGAGCTCTTGATATGAAAGATCGCGTAAATGCTACCCTCTTTGCTATAAATTCTGGAATTTATGTACTCGCCTATTTTTACTAGGCTCCCCATTCGACGCGAATTTTATGTCAGCGAATAATTTAGACGAGAGATATTTCCGCAAGTAATTCACGTTTTACGCTTCTCGAGTTATATTCTTCCCGTCTCGCAAAGCGTATGATAACTCAATAAAATCTCACCTAACCATACACCCTGTTCATATCTCGCCCAGTTTGTTATTTAACCCGATGTAACAGATGTCCGTCAGTTATCGGAAAACCGGAGCAAGTGACGGATCATCCCCGCCGTCAGTTCCACAAAGAGGCTCTCTTGATACAAATTGTATTTTGTAAACATTTCTATTTTATATACTATTGCACTCTATTTCTTACTGCTTCAATCGCGTATTCTCCTTTCCACCTTATCGCTCTCGCCGATGTTCATATCCGCACCCGGGTGTTTCCAAATAGGGTGTTGGGTCGACTAGCTGATATAGTCCGCTCTATCTAGCGTTGGTCGACCGACCGACACCTGAATCTCGAACTCGATCGGACGTGACCCAACTACGCGATGCGATTGCTCTGTGTTCCTATCACTGGGTGCGGCGGCGGGAGGAGGGTCAGACGATTAGCGTTTCGATTGCGATAACTCAAGCGCTTAAAACGCGTACCTCTCCCCCTCCGTTCCTCGCATTTTACGGAACTTTTATTGACGGAGCATCAGGGCATTCTGAGGTTAACGGTCGGGCGAGCTGCCGTTAACCGTGGTATCGGCGGACGCCTTAATTTGTTGCTCCTACTGCGAAAGAGAGGGTCTCGAAACGGCACGTTTGCCCGCACGTAGAAGCGCGAGAGATACCGCGCGTATCGACTTGCAGACTCTCGAAGACTTGCCTTTTGCCAATTTTGCGCTCCAACAGCTTTCTCTAAACTGCTAGAAACGACGCCTATCAGGGTGCGAAGTGCCTGCCTCTTTCTGTTACTGCTGTTGATGTCCCATTAGCCATAATTCAACATTCCTTTTGCTTGAGACCGAAATGACGAATACACGAATCATTAACCGGACTAATTGCCAGTAAAACGATACGAAAACTTTGAAGAGACTGAAGAACGTCGCAAACTCTTTCCTTTCCATCAGCACAATTTAGTTATGCGAATAAACGAGATAATCTTCGCTCGAGACTCGCAGTTTCTTCAATCAATTCGGCATCGATTCTATCCGCGATAAAAGTGTCAAGCCATACGTCGTTCCTGAGTTATGAACACGTTACGAACACGACCGAAATGCGCTCGACATTAATCCTCGTTACGAGCTCGTATGCCTGTTCTGTATTTCAGTACGAACCAGTTATTCAGCCGGGAAGCAACACATACCTTCACCACATGACCCTGTACGAGTGCCGCGGAGATGAAGCCCAATTGGAATCCGCAGCCGAAACGACCGGGGGTGTCTGTTACGTTCCTGATAAACCCGCATTCCAGTGCAACACGATCGCAGCCACTTGGAGCCTCGGTTCTGAGGTATGTCGAAAACTTCGTTTACGCTCGCACGCCAAAGACCTCGACGCCGAGCACCGAGGTGCTTTCATATTGGCAAGTTTTTGCGGTAGTCACGGAAATCGCGTCTGCTGCGCACAATGGCAAAGATGCAGGGAATGCAGATTATAATATATAAATTTTACAACTTATTTATTCTCATAAATTACGCGCTCTATGATCGTCAATTAAAGCTCTTTGATCATTGAAATGTGACGGTTGAAATATTTACCCGAGTCGAAATTTTGGCCCTATGTTGAACCTTTTATTCTATTATGTAGTAGTACAAAATTTACTTCTACTTTAAAACTGATAATGTCGGAAATTTCTACTTTTGCCAATTTAGCATTAAAGTAGGTCCTTTTAAGTAGTGGTTAAAGTAAATTTTTAGAATCAACGATTCAAGGGAGGAGTAAAAATATATAATATCATCAAAGTAGGTTATTGCTGGTCTATGTAGATGTTTAGATCAGCTAAGTAGGTGCAAATTACCCTTAAAAGTGTGAAAATGGTACCCAAATTTCGACCCGGGACATAAGCATCTTTTAAGAATGTGGAGAAAGATGTGCATAAGCAAATATCTTAAATTCGTTGTATATTGTTTCATCTGTAATTTCGATCGTCAGAAATGTCCATTGGCCTTCACCGTATAAACTTGACTCCTCGTCAAATGTTGCGCGTGATCGTGCAAGGCACGTTCAGAGTTTCGTGATAATTCCGAGTGCGGTGTAATGTATACCAATGCGAGAGCAGGAATACCGCAAACTTGTTTCTTCGTGGTTATTGGTAATATGAACATCCTGTGAAATTGCAACCGATCGTAAAACGTGTCGGGATCTCGTATACGATTCCCAGTAAATGATGAATAATATTGATAATAACGTTAATTGAGATAACACACGGTATTTGCTATAATATTCAGTAAATGGTGCATCAAGCGCTTTTACTTTTATTTTGATTTCCGTATTTTAGCCTGCTTTTTTTTAACGCTAAAACAATGTCGATAATATTGCCGCATTATCTTCAAATATTTATCGGATTATCTTAAAAAATCATGACAATATATTTCGTAATTTGTATGTGATTCTATATTTATATAATAATGTTATTAAATGATTATTATTCAAATGTCAGATAGCAAATAAATATTAAATGAAAATTCTACTATTGGACGCGGGCGCAATTAATTAGTTCTATAAATTATGACGAAACGAGGACGTTTTGTATTGGATCTAAATTGAAACGTTTAGAGTTAAATTAAAAATCTCATTAATAATGCAGGCACGTTCGGTGCGGACGATCGGAATTACTCGGGCTATGTTCATAAATTTAGATTCAAAACGGTTTTGAAGATAGCGATTACCGATTCGGGGAATCGTGCGGATTGTTATCTCGTCATCGGTATCTGAAAATTAAAATTAACCGGACATAATTCGCGAGTACATGCACCGCCAATAAGGAAACGTATTTCATGAGCGACAATTTTCATCGGGGGCCTGTTCCCTGATGGATCGAGGCGTATACCGATTATACCAGTCTGGAAACGTCGCCAGGATAGAGGCGGGGATCAGACCGGACCAGATCGGACGAGAACGGGCCCCCGATCAGAACCGGACCGGCGCGGCGTACTCGCTGCCGGTCCTGTTTTTATTTACTGGCGGCTTCTGCATAATCCATCGTTTCCCTCTCTCTTTCGCCGCGCCAGGGCTTTAATTATCCGCCGGAGGCCGGATACGCGCTCAATCCGTACTTGGGGCCGCGCTACTACATGCTGGAGACCCACTACACGAACCCGCAGCTGGACGCCTTCATCAGCGACAGCAGCGGCCTGCGTCTTCTCTACACCGATCGACTGCGCGGCCATGACGCCGGTATCCTTAGCGTTGGCATCGACCCGAACTGGCGGCATATAATACCGCCCGGTCAGCCCGAGGTGGTCTCCGAGGGCCACTGCATCGCCGATTGTACCGCCCAGACGATACCGAACAACGGCATTAACATGTTCGCCGTGATCATGCACACCCACCAGCTCGGTAGGAAAGTCCGCCTGCGGCAGATCCGCGCCAGCGAGGAGCTGCCGCCGATCGCAGCCGACACCAACTACGATCCCAATTATCAAGAGTATCGGAGGCTTCAGAGACCGGTCAAGGTGTACCCGGTAAGTATAGTCTTAACTCTAGCATGACGTGCGGTGCACCGCGTGTGTACCGCGTATATTACTACTGGGAGATTTCCCAATGGAGAACGGCGATATTTCTTTTATTAAAGTATCATTATTTGAAAGAGGGAGATACCGAATACTGCGGGCTCAAGTTGAATTTCGTTTTAATCGTTATATCAGAATCCAATTTATTGGCCCATTTATTAAACTTCGCCCTCCCTACGGCGATAGCTAATGCAATTATTAGAAAAAAACCCGATTAACGGAAGAGGATCGCGAAGAACCGGGAAAAGAATCTCGGACTCTCCGCTGAGATTTTTTTCCTTGAAAAATAATCCAAGATAATTCTTAAGCGCTTCGCGAGTAACTCGCGTCTTCCACAGCGGTCCTTTAATATATTCTTATTTTTCCGTTCTGTTTCCGCCACGTTGCACGCCTTTCGTTTACTTGCCGCGAACATACCTCCAGCTGTATTATAACCCGTAGCACGTATCAGAAAGTTTATGAGCTTGTTATAAAGTTTATTAACGTGCAATAAGTATAGCTTTGATCACGTAAAGTGCCGACATGCTACGGATGCAGGGCATGAACCTGAGTTTAATTGTTTGAACGAGCTTCAACAGGGTGGGCTTAAACGCGATTACGTGTTAACATAGAATAAAAATATATTACAACAGTATTGAATTGAAAAGTAACCGCCTTACGGTTTCACTATACTAATCTAAGAGTTTCGACTTAAGCCTGTGTGTGTTATAGCTAGCTTTTATTTAATTTTTTAAATTAATGATCGCAAGTTCTTCAATTCTCAAGAGACTCTGTTTAGCCCGGTTCACGTGATCCTTTTGTATTACAGGGTGATCACTTGGTCGCCGAATGTACGTACTCGTCCGAATCTCGGACAGCCATTACGCTCGGCGGCCTGGGAACGAGAGAAGAAACCTGCCTGGTGTCCGTTCTCTATTATCCTCGCATTGAATTATCTCTTTGTTATTCTTTGCCTTCGCTACCGACAGTGCTGCACAGCTTGGGAATCCAGAAATTAATACAGTAAGTGACATTTCCATACATTTTTCTTACAAAACGTGTCATGTGATAAGATTATATCGACTATCCTTCGAGTTAAAGGGGCGAAGAAATGCTGGACGTATTTTATTCTTAAAATTTCGGAAGGATATACTTTTAGTAGTATTCGAGCTAATTGAATAATTAATTGTGGCTCGTGTGAAATTGATCTCGAACATAAATTCTTATTTTACGACAACGGCTTCCATTGGGCTATCTTACTCCGTGTCGTTACGAACTCGACTGGCAAATCGTTTACGCGAATGAGAGGAAAGTTTGATGGGGCACTAAGATACAATCGCACCTTGCTGCTAGTTTATGGCTGTATGCAAACGGTGATCGTTCGACATTTCGCTCTTTAATCGCTCTAAATTGGCTATTAGGGACAACTCGTATTACGAAAGTGCCGGTCGTCATTGGCTCAAGGAGCGACAGAGAAGCGCAGTAGACATTTAACTCGTAAATAATTCTTAAATAGAATTTCCACCGCTTTTTGTCTCGATATTTAATGATCGAAGATTTAACGAATAACTAATAATAATGTGAGAAAAGTGCGCGCATCACGATAATCAAACTAAAATATAAAAGAGGCGTGGTGTAAAATCCGAGAAGCACGGCGACTTTACGAGGAAATCTGATCTCTGGCGCAGGGGTTCCAGTCCTGTGATGATCCAGGAGCCGCAGAATCTGGCGGGTATGACGCTCGAGGAACGACTGGTCAGCTACAATTGGGGGTCAAACTTCCAAAGCTTCCAGGAAGCTACTCGCAGCGGCACGTTCAAGCCGTTGTGCGGCAGCAGTAGGGGCGCTCTGCCCAACACGGACAACCTCGAAGTGCACTACCCGCGTATCCTCAGGCCCTACGAGGAGGCGAGCGTGCCCTGTGCGAAGAAACCGTTGCGGAACAAGCTGTCGATGTTGTTGAGCGAAGACGGTGACATCGGCGCGCCCGTCGACCCCGACAGCGACGAGTCGAATGCGGTCGAGCGAGGTCAGCTGGTACGCAGCAAGGTGTCCCGCAGCAGCGACGCGGGACCCACGGCCGGCAGCTCCTGCGGCCGGACGGTATCGGCAGCGGTGATCCTGGCCGCCGTCACCGTTGTCGCGGGCGCCGCGTTCAGGTGAACGTCGCCGCCGGACGAGCGATCGTTCGAGTTTACTCGGATCCAGGATCGCCCTGGTGATCATCCATCGCGATCGAGCCCGCGGCGGATCGAGCAACAGCAGCAGCAGCAGCAGCAACAACAGCTAGAACGTGCGTGTGTTCGCGTAAGTACATGCCAATCTCAGCGACGCAACGTTTAGGCTTAGATAAGTGTTATTGTTCTTCGACCGAGCGCATCCAGGATTTTCCTCGAGCGACTCGGTTGGCGGACGTTTCTTTTTCGAGGCGGGATGACCTTTCTCCGGCACGGCTAGCGGCTGGCGCGATTTTCGTCGAGTACCATATCGTGTTTCGTACTGATAGGTGATAGAAATTACAGCCGTCTTTGACCTTCGTTACTCCGATACTGAATAGTGAAACTAGCGGTGAAAATAGTGAAGGAATCGAAACTGACTCGACACACTTAATTTCGGAATGCCAGCTCTCTAAAAATTCTTGCTTAGAAAACCTCAATGTAGCACAGTTTACATCCGTCTCTCGTTGAGAAATTCGTACGTTATTTCGAGGTTCAATTTGTTTAATTTTTAACATAAGCAGCTCGTAAAGATTTAAGCGACATATATAGCGACGTACCGCAATGAACTCGCCAGCCTTTAGTCGAGAGTGTCGAATTTTTTCTGAGAGTGGAAAAGGACAATTGCAATCACCATTCGATTCGGTGTAGAGAATACCTATATACATATATCTATCATAGAAAACGTAGAAGAAATTACCGAATCCACGTTATCTCGACTTATAGGTGTTGAAATAAAATTATGGTAATTTTGGAGGCATGTCATCGAAAACATCTCACCCGCCATACGCGATGTTCGGTTTTACCAGCAGGAAACGTTTACTCTCTTTTTCTGGGCCACGTAACTGTATTTTGAAAAAAAAACATCAAAATCAAGGAGCATGAAAGTAAACTCAATAAAATAAGAATATTTCGCCACTTTTTAAATTTAAATTGAACATTTTCTACAGAGAGAAATATTTTTTTCAAAGCTGATCCAAAAAGCTATGTCTTTCTTCAAGGCAAATCATTCTATGAAAGTTAATGTCAAGAGAACATCTACAAAGAACTAGATGTATGGAATATTTTTGCGCTGCTCTCAATTAGAAAATGTTCTTCCTCACGTTTTTGACATTCGTAAACTTCATTTTTTTACGTCGCTCCAATTTTACTTTGCTCTCGATGGCTCTCGGGAATATACACGAATTTGAAGCTCGGATGATGATAATCAAATATTCATCTCGGCATTTAAAAATCGCCCAGAAAGGAGAGAGTTAATGACGTTGTGCTGGCCGGAAACCGGATGTGAATGCGCGGCATATTAATTTTCGCCCGCGGTAAAACCGAGCATGGGAGATCGAATCTATCGTGTTCTCGTTTCGCGATCGGCTTTTCTCTTTCGCGACTTCCGTTTGCGCGCACCACTGTTATATAATAGAGAATTTTTGCGAGCAGTACTCTTCGAAACACGGTAAAAGCGGAAGTCCCACGCTCGGTGCGAAATATCTATAAATTGTCGTGACAGTTTTCACCTGAAATTTATATTATTATTTATATTCGGAACATTTGCATTTGCCATATTTGAAATACGCTGCTGCAAAAAAAAGTCTGCAATGTCTCGCGTGCTCGCGTAGGATGACCAATAGCGGGATATCTCTCGGATATGAATGCATCGGCTTTGTCATACGTAGACTTTAGCACGTATGAATCAATAATGCAAGTTGCGATGGAAATGAATAACACGAGAACTTGCCTGTTCTTTATATACTACACGTTCATTGCCTCGATGTACCAACTTGCAGTAATATAATCAAAACTTGAGAGAAATTGTATAGACGGAGGGGGGAGGGGGCGGAGAATTATAGAGGGGACCTACGAATCATTTTGCTTCGTATAAAATTATTTTTCGCGTCAATCTTGATAAAATCTTGATAAAATGTAAAGATTAGATAAACGACCCGAACATATTGAATTGTAGACTGCGATTATAATAAATAAATAAGATATTACGAAAAATTATGATAATAAAATTAAGTAACATTTTATTTTTAATAACTCGTAATCAAGAATTAAATTGTTGTAGAATATTGTTGTAAATATAATCTATGTAATGTTCTTAACTTTATACGAAATGATAATAATCGAAATCGAACGAGTCTCATGCAAATGCAATACATTTTATCATTGATACGAAAGTGATATTTCCGATAGCGGCACACGATCCATACTTTACACTTTGAGTTAATTAGTTCGTTCCGCGATCGCACTGCCTGATAAAGCTGCCAGTCGTTGTCGTCGCCCGTGAGTCACTCCATCATCATCGATTTCGAGACACTGCCTTAGCGCCACCACACGAATCGAAGCTACTTTTAAGTCGCATTAAAATGTATCTATTCCATCCTGATGGAGTAGGTATCATTTAATAATGAGAGTATTGGAGATGCTGTTTGATCTTTTCACGTACGACTTTGTCGGCGATTCCGAACGAGAGATATCCTAGCAAATTTTCGCGACTCGACGGAGCGGAATATTAATTTAAAATGCAATTATTTAGAGAAGATGCCATTTTTCGGCCGGGCTAGATATTGGTAGCCTAACAACAATAATTCTGTGTGAGTTTTCTATTCTGTTTCCAACTCGGTCTCGCACACATTTAATTTAATTATTAGGCCGCTAAGATCCAGCCCGACCGAGAAATGGCATCTTCTCCAATTAATTGCAATATATTCCTATCGGTCCTACTTTACTTATTATTGTTTATTAATTTAAAACTTCTTTCGAGCTAATCGCAAGAGTTTAATTGTTGGCTGTTTATTTGCTGTTCGAGAACCGGGCGAGACGTCGCGATTTTCGCGAAAGAACGTTTCGTGAATTTATTTTTCAGTGTACGACACGTGCTTTGTCCGAAGTTTTTCCAGCGCAGTGCTTTCCAATTTAATTCGACCCTTTATAACCAGATTTTTTCGTTTTAAAACAAATTACACAACCGGTGGATGGAAAATATCGATTAAATTATTAAAATTTAAAGAATATTGATGTATAAGCAGGTAAATTCCACATTACAAGGCATTAGAAAAAGTTAATCATAAATTCATTTGGAATATGAAAAAATATTACTTTGATTATTCTTCGTCATGCATTTTTCTGTGGAAAGAAAAGTATGAGATCGAATCAAGCGGAGAAAGTTAAATGAATCGAGTGAGATGAAAATTTTTATCTAAAATCTCGTTATTCTTTTTCGTATTGACTGAACAAAAAATTAATTTGCAAAACTAGAATTACGTGTTACGCAAGGAACGTACTTTCCGTTATGATAAAAATTGCTCGCGAAATTCCACGGCGAACATTTGGGAAACACTGCTCTGACGACTTCGGCGGTCACGCGATAAATGTGCGCGCGCTTCAGTACGTCGTGCTCGCACGGTTCTCGCCGAAGTCTGTACATTTTGTTAATTAGACCGTAGCGATAAAGGCGCATTTTTAATAAAGATTGTATAAGCATTGGTTGATTTGCACGCGATGATAATTTCGTGCGAGAATCTAAGTCTCGTTACCGAAATCGTAATTCAACTTTTGTTGACGCGTTTTACGAAGGGGTGTGTTACTTAACCAACGTTTATATATAAATATATAAATAGACACACTATATATATATTATACATACCCGACGACTCTTTGTAACATTCTGTACAGTTTATTACGTGTAGCGTTATTCACGCGCGCTTGTCAACGCTCGTTGTCGTATGGGCGATTATTTATTTTTTATTTAATGTATAAAGCGATATAACTTGCGACTTGACACATCTCTCATTGTTGCGTACACATACACAGAGACAGACAGACAGACACACAATTCACACACACACTTTCTCTCGCACTTTCGAAGATTTCGAACCAATATGACACATTTGGGACACTCGATTCTCCGACAAATTGTGTGATTCTTATTAATTCTATCCACATTAGGGATATCGAAGAGTAATCGGTATGCGCTTGAGCGTGCGATAATTTACGATTGCTCAACGTATATGCTAAGTTATCAATTATAGATTTATAAATCTATGATTCAGCGACTTATGGTTTTGTAACGTATCTTTTAAATGAAGTTATTCAATTTTACCAAAGTTCTGTTTATCTCCAGTTTATCGATTAATTAATATAATTACCATTACCATCGTAAAATTGATGTTATTATTAGCCGCATACTTGAATCAGCTGCACGATACAAATAAATATAGATGACGTGCCTAGTAAACTCGTGAACGTTCTCAAGGGCTAAACGAAACGTTTTGAAACGATACGATCTGCATGGCGATTTGCATTCGATTCGAAGGCTTCTCCTGATAATTTCCATTTAAATGACTCTCGACTCGGATTTGTTCTTTACTCTACCTCATTTCGAAATCAAACGAAACGGAAGTGTCCCTAAACACGCGCTGTTACCGATTTTCATTTTGCACCGGTATTAACAGAAAGAAAGAAGAAACGGAGAGTTTCATTAGCTGAAATCAATTTGAAATTTTTTTCTTCCAAATCCCGTCGAATTTACACTTTTCGATGGTAGATCGGAAAAGATCTTTTCCTTACCTACTCTCCCTTCTAGCATAGCGAAATCTCAAAGTAGGCGCGACTAATCGGTATCGGACACGTAGGTACGTTTTACAATTTAATACTAACTGGTAATTCGTAAATGTCATAGGAAAATCTGTGTGTGTAGAGAAGATCTTAGGGCAAATCGAATGGCCGTATCTCAACCCCTAAGCAGTCGGGATTCTCGAGTGTGTCTCGCAACATTCATTTATTCGTAACGTAGCATAATTCAAGCGAGTCGAAACTCATCAGCGAAGAGAAGGGAACCAGTTAAAATTATTTCATTCAAACGCGTACAATAATATATGACTTATGACGTAATAGCCGTTGTGTTTTTAATCATAATTTGTTTCGCGGAAACGTCATTTCTGTGTTGAC